TATTTACACTAACACCCATTGAGCTTTTTGGCCATTTCACAAAACTCCCTGGAGTTTTAGAAATTACACAAACACCCCTCAAGATTTTAAATTGTTTTCACAAAACTCTTTTTTATTAATTTTTGGGTTAATTTCAATTTAGTACCACGAAATCTCACCCTTAAAGCATGTTTATCCTTGCACTCTCATTTTTAACAATCATGTACCCTAATCTTTTTTATTTTTTGCAATTTGATTTCGACTGCCAAATATTCCCTTAATTGTCTACGTGGCATGCATGGGTCCCACCTTTTCGCTGCTTTCAATGTCATGTGGGTTCTGACCCATGATGAGAGGGTGCATGTGCTTCATTTGGACCTTCATATGTGTTTTCTGAGTTGTTTATCTTAGCAACAGAAGGAACCATATTATCTCAACAACATTAACACGGTCTTTTTCATCTTCATTTTCAAACCCCAAGTGGGAACTCACTTTTCCTAGCCCGCTTCCACCTTCAAGGGTACGAACCTTCAGGGTAACTTCGTATTTTTAACAGTCACTCGCTTTCTTTCACTACATGATAAATAGGTATTTTGTTCAAGATTTTGAATCTCTGCATAATAATCATGCATTTACCTGCTTCTTGTTACATTTAACCTTTGCCTTGACCTCTGCTTTCTTGATGAAGATAAGAAACCAAAAGTGTCAGAGTTTGTGAAAACTTGAGAAAATGTATATTTATATTGTCATAGACTAGTTGGAACTCTTTCTTTTGTTTACCAGCCCTCACCATATATATTAATATTATCAAGATTTGTGAGGTTAAAATTTTCTATATAGATATTGTAATCTCAATGGGTTCTTCTATGTCTCCCTATCCCTTTTTCCCATTGATTTGAATGGTATTTTTTTACACGTCAACCCAGTTTCTGTCTTATGCTACGTACCTACACTACAGTGTGAATGTGTTGAAGTAAATGGTAAGGAACATTCAAGGAAACTTCTCCTCTTGGACGGTGATACCTACTCGGACAGTTGGTGTCAATTGCCCCCCATTGACACTTTTCTTTTACTTACAAAACAGGCCAAATACAAACTAGACTGTACCTTTGCCGCACCATGTTTGTCTAAAGCATCTTCACATGGTAGATCACCCTGTGGAGTATTTGCATATATACAATCAAAACCAAAAGGGCCATAAGTACCAAATCAAGTAGAAATTTTAGTGCATTTGCTACAGTATATGCTATAACAAGAAACACATTCAAAGCAAAGGCATATCAATGTCTTTAAGTAGTGCCTAATTACGGTGATGAAAGTCTTCTAACGCATGTGAGAGCCATAATAGTAAAGGGTAAGGAAAAGAACCTTCAACGTTGTCTTTGATAGTGATACTTCCTTCCTGAAGCGCAAAAGCTTTCTTTCATCAGTTCATGATGATGCTTTTTTCTTTTTGACTAACATCTCTTCACAATTGTTTAGCCTTCATTGACTGAATTCACCTCATCAAGAGAAATTTTTTTTGCACCTTGAGTCGGTAACTTTTTGTCTTTGACGGTAACACGCTTTTCGCTACATGATAAATAGGTACATTATGAAAAAGTAGGTACTCAGAACAAATAAAATTATATATATATATATATAGGGAGGTGTCTTTGTAAGAGAGAAATAGGTACATTATTCCTATATTATAACTTCGTTTTCAAGACACAAGTCAACTGCTTTTCTTTTCATGTATCCATTTTTTTCAGAAAAAAAGAAAACAAAAACCACCTTGCCAAGAAAATGATTTGAAAATTCACATGACAATATACACATTGAATCCACACAACGGAAAAATGTTGAAAGAATTTTTTGCAAGGGCCCTTATGATTAAAAAAATGACAGAAAATTAGCTTTGCGTTTGGATAGTCTACATGAGGTTTGGTGATGAAGAAATTTCATTGCAACTGCAAGTGATCAAACGGTGATATTTACTCTACCTTTCAAGATGCCTTGCCTTTTCTTTTGGGGTTGCATTTTTGTTCACCACCTTAATCCTAGGTGTACCCTCACCACCCCTTCCAAAAGTTGGCACATGTCCATGAGTTTAACTATAGTTAATTCTTTATTTATTATTTATTTGATGACACTATTATGAGGGAGAAACAATACTTTAATAAGATTGTTCTTGATTTACCCTTATTCTAACCTAGCAAACTTTCCACTTTTCTAAATTAATTAACAACAACCCAAATAAATAATTGGCAATTGGCCTTATGTCTCGCGCTTTAATATGAATCTCAATTCACATGCTTCAATACTTTGAAGAACACGCCCAAATACTTTGAATCTCAATTGGCTTTAGGTAGCTCCTTTTATCCACGCCCAAAAGTTATACTGCTCTTCAATTCCAGGCTTCCTCCATTTGTTCAAATGAAAGATAGGCAACATCTATGCTGCTTTTTTTTTTTTCTTCTTTTTTTAGTACTCTGTATTGCTTGATTATTTTTTATACTTTTGGTGATTGCTTTGCATTATTTAGTTTTTTGAGTATCAAACCAAATTCGAATTTAACAATTCTTGTCCTTTTTCTAAAATCTGAATAAATGTTGCATTCCTAAAAGGACACAAATTAATGTGCAAACAACCAATTAAAAATACCTGCAAGTGCACGAATCTATTGAGGTATAGATTATGTAAGTACGGGGTCGATCCCACGAAGAACTTGTCGGCTTCCTATAAGTTCTAATTTGAGTACATAAAGAACACTTATTTTACACAACACACAAACACAGTACAAATTGGGAACTAAAAATGAATAAAGGAAGGTAAAAGAAAAGAAACAAAACAAGAAACCAAAGAAAAACAGAAGCAGCACTTTCTATCACCCTTTTATCACCTATTTATCACATGTAAACAGTATCATGAACAGTGAAAATGAACAGTCGCCGGTCATGAACAGTAACAACCGGTCGTTTTTTGGCAGATTCGTTTCTCTGTTTTTCCAGTTTCGACCTCTGTCCAGTGTTTTGCCTATAACTTTCCAACCGTATGTCAAAAATTCACGTTCTTTATACGGTTGGATTCAGAACAGAAAATGCAAGAACACAGCGCGGACCAAAACTCCAAAAAAATTACGAAAACAAATAAAATTCAGTAACAAAGACACACCACGTGTCGAACTCACAACTCACACACACATTGGGGGGGGGGGGGTATTGCATGAAAGTAAATGTACTTTGAATTTAAATGAGAATGGCAGAGATGAGTTATCAAAATGTGAAAGTAGCAAGGAACAAACACTAGGGTTTCGGAATCCACCCTAAACAATTCTACCCATTGTTCATGGATACTCAAGTGATGAACTCTAAACGTGTTAAAGAAGATGTTCGCAATCAAGACCATGGGTCGTGGCTCAAGACGCATTGATTCTCTCTAATATACGTAAGGTGCATGGTTCGTGCTATAATACTTGTGCCCTCCCCATAACCGAACCTAGGTATGGTTCGTACTTCAATTCAATTACAAGGAAAACCCATTAAGTTCAAAGAGAATATGAACATCACAAGAATCCTAATAGCATGGTGTTTACATTAGGTATTCAAGAAACCAATTCACATGGATGATTCTTACTTCATCCATTTGTTGCTTAGGAAAATATGAAGATACACACAATCCCAACAACCTCAAGAAGCATGCTTTAAAAGGTGATCAATCAAAGAAGAACATACATCAATGATAGATTATTTTAGTGAATTGAAATTCATCAACAAAATCTAGAAATTCATACACTCAAGCATCAAAACAATAGAGTAATCATGTTTAGGGCTTCAACCTAAGCCCTAGCTATGGAGTTTAGTTGCTCATACTTATTCCAAATACAAACTCAAAATAAAATTAGAAAGAGTTTACAGATTTTGAGAAAATGGTGAAAGCTTCAAGGTCTTCAATGGTGGAAGCTTTCTTCTCCACTTTGCTTGGCTGCACCTTGGCTTTCTCCTAGCTCCAAGCTCTCCCAAATCTGCTCCCAATGTGTAGAATAATAGCATGGTATGGTTACCCACGTTCAAAAACCTCTTCAACTTCATATTGCACTCCCATGTGCCTTTTGCCCATCAATTCCAGCTCATAGATATAATATAAAACTCATGCTTTAGTTAAAGCCTTTGCTCTTGTCCCCTTTGCCATGATGAAACCTTGTCCTTGAAAAAAATGTTATTTGCCTCAGAAAATATCTCTTTCACTAAGGTAAATTTTTGTTACCAAGTGTTATGGTAACAAGAAGAATCAAGTGACACATTGGAGGTAAAAGCTGGACTACTTCGGATTTCCAGAGCTGTGGTAACATGCTGGATTGGTTGGATAGGCAATACTTGTCCAATGGAGCTCAAATTTGGATATGTTGTAGTTAACATCCATTGGAACAAGTTTCATGAACGATCTTCACCTCATCCGAGCACTAGAGCATGTTGATCCCAGGCCAAGAAGTTGAACTACGAAAATGAACAAAAACAGAATTTATAACCAATAATGCACTTTTAGCTCATTTTCATTCTAACCAAGGTAAAATCTAAGAAAACACAAAAGCTATAAAAGTCGTCAAAGCTTTCTTTCAATACAAAAGTGAAAGTGGGTAAGGAGCCTTCAAGGAAAAAAAAAACCACCCTGCCAAGACGTGATGTGAAAATTCATGTGACAATATACACAACCGAATCCACAAGGCAGAAAAATATTGAAAAGATTCTTTGCAAAGGCCCAATGACGGAAAACTAGCTTTGTGTTTAGATAGTTTACACGAGTTTTGGTGAAGAAATTTCATTGCAACTACAAGTGATCAAATGGTGATATTTCTCTTACTTTTCAAGATGCCTTACTTTTTCTTTTGACAAGCATTATCTTTACTTTTTCTTTTTGTTATGGAATTTTGTAGTTTTAATGGGGTGCTCCCTTCCCACTTTAATTTTGAAAAGAAAAGAGACACCACCGACACCGACCGTGCCAACAAATAATGTGAAAGGACAGAGGAAGTTACAAGGGAATTGTCTCAAATAATCACTTTTGCAAACCCTTATTCTCATATAATCACTTTACAAATTTTAATAAAAATTCACAGAATCCCAACCGATCCTAGTAATATTGCTAAAATAATGTGCATCTCAATAAACTTACCAGTAACACTTGCACTTTCATTAGCAACCCACGCACCTTCCTCTTCTTTCGTGACCTTCTTTATTACCTTGGCATCACCAGTAACATCAATAACAAGCTTGAAAGACACCAACACCAGATCAATGTTCAGCACAGAACTGAGAGGGACAGAATGAAACCCATTGTTTGCATCCCTCCCCTCCATACTAAAGGCATCTGCAATTATGTATCAACTTTTCATCGTCAGACAATTCACTTTTTTTTTTCTTTTTGCCAGACTTAACAGTTTGATAACAAGGATCCAAAGACATACATTGAGGTTGAACAATTAATCTGACCTTCTCTACTCTTTTCATTGTCTTGATTGCTTTTGGCAATGCTGAACAAAAATGGCCTGAAACAAACACAAATCCCCCATTATTCATTACAAATTGGTATAATCACAAAGGAATTGTCTTTCCCCATTAAAATCACACTATATTAAAACCAAAAAAGAAAATACCATCTTTCACATAGAATTCAATCACTTCTTCTGGTGTCCCTACAACAACAGTACCACAACCAATGCCACCCGATACTTGACTGCATTAACAACAAAAAATCCAATAAAAACCAGTGTTTTCAAAGGCATGCCTTGGCGTGCGTCGGAGCTAGGCGGCAGGTAATCACCTAAGGCGGCCGGCTGTCGTTTCACTTGAGTGTTCTGAAAAATATAAAACGCAAGCTGTATCTTTCAGTTTCAATATTAATAAGACGCAAGTGTAGCCTTTAACGCCAGCTGTAGGCTGTGGCTTTCAATTTCAATATTAATAATATCTTTCTTGCCTTTTTTTTTTTTTTGGGGGTAAAGATGAACTTTCATAAATAAAGACCAAAGATTCTTGCCCTTTTCTAACTCCTGGCGACTGTAGCCTTTATTATACTTACCTTTTTTTTTTTCTAAATTAATATATTAACACATGGACTTATATATATATTGTATAGTATAACCCTAATTTCTACCCTTACCAAATAATCTCTATCAATTTCAAGAAATCTCTTCATCTTTAGACTACAAGTAAGCCTTTTTTTTTTCTCTCTAATATGGGTATTTTCGGCATTTTAAAAGTTTCATTAAATGGAGCCAAGTGCTTCTCGTGTTTTTGTCCTGCAGCGCATTTATGAAGAAGCACCTCTCAAGTGCTTCTTCCAAAACCACTCCAAGTGCTTTTGGATCTCACCCAAAGCGCTTTTGCAATTTTTGCTAAACACCATTTTTAAAAGACAGAAGCGCTTTCACCCACTTTTCGCTGCTCCAAAAGCACTCCCAAATGAGCCTAATTCTCTCAATTCAAGCTTTAAATTTAGCCAGTTGAGTGTAACTCAGTTGGTTGAGCTCTTCCACTTTCACCCATGCAGGCAGAAATTCGAATTATAATTATATATTATTGTATTAAACAAACACAAATTCATAATAATAAATCGGACAACTTTAGTTATTGAGGTAATAAATTTATAATTAGCTCCCCATGGCCTATATCAAATTGCAACAAATATAGTCAGTAAACTTCGTATTTTTGTTATCCTACATAAAATTGCTCACCTGGGGTTAATAACTTATTATCACTCATGCTCATATAAGAAAGAAATAATATATAAATAAAAAACTAGAGAAACAAGTTTTAGTTCCATTTCACGACAAAGCTCTCTCTTTTCTCTCTCAAGCACTTTAACAAACGCTAAAAAAAAATTAAAAATTGTTTTCTCTCTCTTTTTGGGAAAAAAATAATAAAGCATAAAACTCATATGAATAATTGAAATTGTGATTTCATTTCTTTTGTGGGAAAAAAGTTTTAGTGAGTTCAAATCAATTCCACCATCCAAAAGTTTCGAAAATTCTAGAATTTTATAAATAAATAAAAAAGATTGGATAAATAAATAAAAAAGATTGGAATTAAAATGTATCTCAAGATTACAAAAATTCTGAATTATATCGGAGTTTCAAAGTTGAACTACATATAATGAGTAATATCCACGGCCACCAGATGCACTTTGCATAAGCAAAAACAATGAAACTAATGTTATAGCCGCAATATCAGAATATAATTATGTTAAATTTTAAACATGGAAACTTTAAACAGAAAACTTGATCAATCATGAGGATACCATGGCATCTAATTTCTTCGTTATGAAGAAACATGTGATTCTTTTGATTCTAAAACATGCAGACTATGATCTGACACCAAATGTAAACTGTATTCACTGCATATAAGTAGAACACATGTATTTTAGTATTCAATTAGAGTTGTCGGAATATCAAGAACATACAAGATCTCTTCTCCTCAAACTAAAACGCTTCGCATCATCGCCTCGCCTTTCAAAACATTGATAAAAACATCAAAATTGAGTTTGAAAGAACTATGATTACATGCTAACACAGTATAATAACCAATAAAGAACTCAAATTGATTAGATAATTAGGCATCAAAGTACCCAGAACTTCATCCAAATCACCAGGCCGCTCATTCCTCTCTCCTTTCTCGATAATCTTCTTCACAATCCCACCATCTTTGCTCAAATCCACCACTTTGATACATGAAACGAGTTGAATTCGAATCGAACAATAGCATTGGACGGCACAACAGAGCCACCCCCACCAACAACACCATAGCCTAGCTCAGCAGGCAATGTGAACAATGCAATCTCTCCCTTCTTCATAGAGACGACGCCATGGTCCAAACCCTTCACCACTCGACCCTGACCGAGCTTAATGGTGAGAGCCTCGTCTTTGTCTCTGGTCGACTCGAACTTCGTCCCATCAAGTAGAGTTCCAATGTAGTGCACTAAATTCAAATTTCCACACTCAATGTATTTAAAATTATAAAGTTTTAATAGGAGAGAAAAAGAGAGAGAAAAAAGAAAGAAATGGTATTTTGGCATTTAAAAAAATTAAATATGGGTATTTTCGGCATTTTAAAAGTTTCATTAAATTGAGCCAAGTGCTTCTCGTGTTTTTGTCCTGCAGCGCCTTTATGAAGAAGCACCTCTCAAGTGCTTCTTCCAAAACCACTCCAAGTGCTTTTGGATCTCACCCAAAGCGCTTTTGCAATTTTTGCTAAACACCATTTTTAAAAGACAGAAGCGCTTTCACCCACTTTTCGCTGCTCCAAAAGCACTCCCAAACGAGCCTAATTCTCTCAATTCAAGCTTTAAATTTAGCCAGTTGAGTGTAACTCAGTTGGTTGAGCTCTTCCACTTTCACCCATGCAGGCAGAAATTCGAATTATAATTATATATTATTGTATTAAACAAACACAAATTCATAATAATAAATCGGACAACTTTAGTTATTGAGGTAATAAATTTATAATTAGCTCCCCATGGCCTATATCAAATTGCAACAAATATAGCAGTAAACTTCGTATTTTTGTTATCCTACATAAAATTGCTCACCTGGGGTTAATAACTTATTATCACTCATGCTCATATAAGAAAGAAATAATATATATAAAAAAAAACTAGAGAAACAAGTTTTAGTTTCATTTCACGACAAAGCTCTCTCTTTTCTCTCTCAAGCACTTTAACAAACGCTAAAAAAAAATTAAAAATTGTTTTCTCTCTCTTTTTGGGAAAAAAATAATAAAGCATAAAACTCATATGAATAATTGAAATTGTGATTTCATTTCTTTTGTGGGAAAAAAGTTTTAGTGAGTTCAAATCAATTCCACCATCCAAAAGTTTCGAAAATTCTAGAATTTTATAAATAAATAAACAAGATTGGAATTAAAATGTACCTCAAGATTACAAAAATTCTGAATTATATCGGAGTTTCAAAGTTGAACTACATATAATGAGTAATATCCACGGCCACCAGATGCACTTTGCATAAGCAAAAACAATGAAACTAATGTTATAGCCGCAATATCAGAATATAATTATGTTAAATTTTAAACATGGAAACTTTAAACAGAAAACTTGATCAATCATGAGGATACCATGGCATCTAATTTCTTCGTTATGAAGAAACATGTGATTCTTTTGATTCTAAAACATGCAGACTATGATCTGACACCAAATGTAAACTGTATTCACTGCATATAAGTAGAACACATGTATTTTAGTATTCAATTAGAGTTGTCGGAATATCAAGAACATACAAGATCTCTTCTCCTCAATCCGACCCCTCACACACTCATTATAGATGGGGTGAATACTTTAGTGTAGGTTACATTGATCAGGTAAGTCGTGGCACCTGTACTTATATGCATCTGCCTAAGGGTCTTGCCCATCAAGAAACTCTCTAGGAATCCTTATTGCAATAGGAAAAGAAAACCCTTGTCCATATTAAGATAGAGTCAAAAAAAATAGGGCAAATTTTCAGATATATATTCTTCTCCAACATGGAGGTATTTATAAGAAGGGTACAAAGATTAGTTAACCCTAAATACAATAGGAAATAAATCTAAATTACAATAGGAAATAAATATCAATTACAACAGTACTAAATAAATAGGTAAGTAATACCCAAAAAACCTAACATAGTAAGGAACCAAAATCGTAAGTAAATAAGAACTTGCTAACACTCCCCCTCAAGTTGGCACAAATATGTTTTGCATGCCCAACTTGACAAGCAGGTCATAGAACACCATATTTGACATTAACCAAATCGAACCACTGTAGAAAAGGCCAAAACTTTGATTTTTTTCCAAGAAATACAATGTTTGTAGTAAAAAAAGAGGCCCAATAAAAGGACTTTTCGAGCCAAATGGGCTTTGAGTCGTTCATAATTAGAAAAGTATGTGTCCAAAGATCGAAGCCCAAGCACGGCTTTCTCCAAAAGCTCTAACTTTCCAAGAAAACCGTTGCGAAGCAACTTTTACTTGGTTAATAGTGCGAACACCTAGATTTGAACTCAAAGTTGATTTCGACAACTGAGGAAGAGTGAAGCGGCAAAGAGAGGGTTGGACAGCCGCATTAAATGTGATTTGAACCGTGAGACTCATCAACATCAACTTGTTAAAACACAACTAATCACAAATCAAAGTGAAAACAAAGTCCATTAGTTTTATTTGCAAAGAAGAACCTTGTACAAGGTGGATGCATTTCTTTACCAAACATGCAATTTCAAGAACCAATGAGTCTATAAATGGAAGTAGAAATTATGGTTCAAAGAACAACCAATCTCTAGAACAAACAACCAATTTGAACAATATTTAAATACTCTAGACTCAACAGCTTGCCAAAGCTTCTCACAGTAGACCAAACACCAAGACTTGAATCACTTATACTATTTGAATTCCCAATTGACAACTTCTTATTGGAAATCTATTCGTCTCCCAAACACATAATCTGTCTAATTCCCAGATGACAACTCCTAAATGGAATTACATTGCTATTGTTTGTAATTTTAACACTATGCCAACTTTATTGCTTGGTATGATTTTATAACTTGGTCACCAATTCCATCTTCTTTAAAATCAAATTCGTATATGCAGCATCTTCTGTATACTGCAGATACTATTGAAAATCTCTCATCGGACACATTGTACTATCTCAAGTAGATTACAATGGTGTCCAAGAAGAGTTTTTGTATGTCTGATAGGGTTCCCCTGGGCCTTGTTAGACCTTTTATTATTTTTAATTAACTGTATTTAGGCCCACTTGGACTTGTATTTGCTTTCTTGTAACTGCATTGTGTCCATCAGACACTCTTTATCTTTAAGCTTCTATTGTACTTTTGGTCCGATATTAGTTTAAAGTCACAATTTCTTCCAAGTTTATTCCATAGCAATTGAAATTTTGAAGTTCTCTTAATTGATGCATAGAAAAGAAGCTTTCTAAGCCAGATTCCCCACTTGGAACATAATGACTTTGGTTAGAGGTTAAAATCAAACAAGACACATTCACTACCTCACTTCACCATACTTCACCTCTTTCCACTAGAAGAGAAAAATAATAGTAGTGACACGCCTAACGCAATTGAGAAAGACCAGTATTCGACTCATTGGAGAATGTTGTAAAAAATAAATTTTTTTTAAAAGGAAAAAGATAAAATAAACTATTTAACAAATAAAAATGGAAAGAATAAATAAGATTACAGAGTAAATTCAACGAAAAACAAAAACCAAAAAATATGTAAAAAAGAAGATGAACAACAAAAGGAGGCGGGGTTCAAGAGTGGGCCTGGAGCCTAACAGTGGGTGCCGGGACGTGGAACCCAAGCACAGACAAACGGAGCGCCATCTGCTACTCTAATAAGCCAGCGTTCTTTGTCGAACAAAGGGCTAGTTTGGCATTGCTGTGCTTTTAAAAAAAACTGCTTCTGCTGTGCTGCGAAAATAATCAGCTGTGAAAAAAAGCAGCTAGGTGTTTGGTAAACTGGTTTTGAAAAACTGCTGTGAGTAGTCAAAGTGTTTGGTCAATTTTTATCAGAAGCGCTTTTAGTGTGTATAATGACCGAAAAAGGCATGATGATAAATCTGTTGGTTTTTTCCTTTATTCTTTTTCTATTTTTTATTAAAGAAACCCAACTTCACTACATAATTTTTTTTCTTTTTTTAATTTACACTTTTTTTATCAAAAAATTTAATCTAAAAA